GTCTGTGAAAGGTAGAATGCGCTAACAGGTCACAGTTTCAGAAACAGTTGGAGACTCTGCAGAGCTGCAGGTGAAACATGTTATATTTCATATAGCTGGATGGGTTTCAGGAAACTGTAAAGCATGTGTTAGCCCAAAATCAACTTACATGCTTAGTATCTGCTCTTTCAGATATATTTTCAGTGAGATGGTTTTGGGAGATTCCATGAACGGGGTCTACGTATAGGCATATGTCTTGAATTCACATCATAATCTGTGTTATTCAAACAAGGTTTCTTAAAGAGGACATATTTTGCTAGAGAAGCCAAAGATTATCACCTATTATGCGAAATCCACCTTTTCATGTCTTTTATTCATCAACATGCGTCCCCTCTGTGTAAAGAGATTCTGAAAGTATCAGGAGAAAAGATTCTCTCTCTTTTTGTCCTGATCCATTTATATAAAAACCTGTCTGTAGCCCAAAATCAACTTACATGCTTAGTATCTGCTCTTTCAGATATATTTTCAGTGAGATGGTTTTGGGAGATTCCATGAACGGGGTCTACGTATAGGCATATGTCTTGAATTCACATCATAATCTGTGTTATTCAAACAAGGTTTCTTAAAGAGGACATATTTTGCTAGAGAAGCCAAAGATTATCACCTATTATGCGAAATCCACCTTTTCATGTCTTTTATTCATCAACATGCGTCCCCTCTGTGTAAAGAGATTCTGAAAGTATCAGGAGAAAAGATTCTCTCTCTTTTTGTCCTGATCCATTTATATAAAAACCTGTCTGAAAATGAGCTGATCAGATTTTGGCCACTTTGTGATGTCATAACGTTTTTTTGGCTTGTGTAACCATTAGCCAATCACCAACAAAGGTAACCCCCCCCCCCCCCCCCCCCCCCCCCACACCTTATCACCTGAATCTCCTCCTAGAGCACCATTGTGTTCTTTTTAACCAAATGTCTCTCAGAGGGGCGTGGGGAGTGGCTCCTTATTTTCATCTAAAGTAAGGCGTTTCAGCACTTTTGAAACAGGGCTGAAACAGAGGGGATTATGGGATGCTGCAATGATCTGTTTGGTATTTCGAGCCAAACACTTCAGAGACATGGGGTGTTTCTCAATGTCAAGGAAGGATGCTCCAGAGCCACTATTTCAAGGATGCTACGTCATCGAGTCCCGCCAAAGGACTGTTCCAATGTCCAGGCTCCTTGGAATTCTACCGAGCCCGGCGTCCTTCGTAGCGAGAAATTTCGCTCATGTCATGACTCTCTAAATGGTCGTACTCACAGATGAACTCCCCTGTTTTTGATTTCGCTTATTTCTCCGTCTCTGAAGTCTTACAGGGTTTGCACTCAATTGATCCTAAAAAGTCTGCCGGGCCTGACGGCCTCGACCCGTTCTTTTTAAAAATTGCAGCTCAGATTATAGCACAACCAGTAACTGATATTTGTAATCTCTCCCTGTCCACTCACACACTGTCAGCTGTGTGGAAGCAAGCTCTGGTATCGCCCCTCTTGAAAGCTGGTGATCCCACGGAGTTGAATAACTATCGTCCTATCTCAAATGTTTCTGTGTTATCAAAGATTCTTGAGTCCCTTGTTTCTACTCAGCTAAAACTTTTTTTAAATTCACACAACATCCTTAACCCTATGCAATCTGGATTCAGATCAAAGCAAAGTACTGTGACTGCCAGTCTGAAAGTCTTAGACGATATTAAGGCTGCTTTGGATAAGAAATCAGTTTGTGTTGCATTGTTTATTAACCTAGCCAAAGCATTTGACACTGTAGATCAACACATTATGTCTAATGTTATGTCGGTGTCTCGTTTCGGTTACAATGCCATTTGCTGGTTTCAGAGTTATCTAACCGACCGTACTCAATGCGTCAGGTTGGGTAGTACTGTCTCTGACCCTGTCACCTTGGAGAAGGGAGTTCCACAGGGCTCTATTTTGGGGCCCTTGCTCTTTTTATTATATGTAAACAATATTTGTAATCAGATGCAATTTTCTACCTATCATATGTATGCTGATGACACTATTGTATACTCGTGTGCTCCTTCTCTGGATATGGCCGTTTCCAATTTAAAATCAGATTGTATCACGCTGCAGCATGCACTTCTTGATTCCAAACTGCTATTGAACAGTAAGAAAACCAAAGCAATGCTTTTTGCTCCCAAATCAGCGTCCTCCTCTTGCCTCTCCATTGACACCCTTGATGGCGTTTCTGTTGAGTTTGTTGATACCTACAAATATCTGGGCTTTTGGTTGGACAGTAATCTGAACTTTAAACACCATATTGAAGTTTTAACAAAGAAATTGAAATTCACTCTTGGCTTCCTTTTCAGACTTAAATGTTGTATTTCAATTTCATCCCGTAAAAGGTTGGTCTCTGGCTTATTCCTGTCCCAGCTGGACTACGGCGATACCATTTATAGATTTGCCTGTCCCACTGTTTTGGCCAAACTTGACCCACTTTACCATGCTGCACTGCGTTATATATCAAATGCACCCTATAGGACTCATCATTGCACACTGTATAGCCTAACTGGATGGTCCTCACTTACTATGCGTAGGATGCAGCACTGGTTTTTATTAATGTATAAAGCCATTTTAGGTAAGCTTCCACTCTACATATGTGTCAGATTTGCCCCAGTTTGCGACTCTTACAACCTCAGATCCAGTGCCTGGATACGGTTCCAGGTTCCTACTGTGCGGACTGAGGCTGGAAAAAGGAGTCTTTCTTATTATGGTCCTTGGTCTTGGAATGACCTTCAATCAAGCCTAAAAATGATGGCACTTGTCTCTATATCATGTTTTAAATTGAAGTTGTCTGAAGTCCTCACCACCAGCTGCTCTTGCAGTAACAAGTAGTGTACTTTTCTTACTGTCCTAATGTGCACAATGTAGTGACTGCTTTTTCGTCTTTTGTTTTCTTAGTTATGTTCTCTGTATTTTATATGTTTGTGTTATGTGTTATGTGTAACGTTGCTGCCTTCTTGGCCAGGTCAGCATTGAAAATGAGATTTTATCTCAATGTTTTTATCTGGTTAAATAAAGGTTAAATAAAAAATAAAAAAAATTCGAGGCAGCACATGTGTAGACTCCTTGGTCTTAAAATCCCCACAATGCTTTGCGCACGGACCAATTTCCAAATCTTTGGCGGAAATCACGCTCCATTTAAGGCGGGCCTCGCATATGACGCACACCTGTACACTTGTTAGCCTGTTCCACAATTCTTCGTTTTCCGAGGCTAGGAAGGATTCTTGCCTCGCTTCTGAAGGAAGTGACTCGGAAGACATGTCCTACCAAGGAAGCGTCCTCGACATTGAGAGACACCCACGTTCTGTATACAACTGAGACCTATAATATATTGATGAGAAACAGTATAATAGGGGACCTTTAAAGAGGACATATGGTGATCATGGTCCAAGTTCATATTAGTATTTTGTGTCTCTACTCTGACATGTCTCCACGCTTTAATGTTCAAAAAGCTCTTTATTTTTCTCACACTGCCTGTGCTGCAGCACCTCTTCACCCTCTGTCTGAAACCAGAGCCCAGTCTGCTCTGATTGGTTAGCTGACCGGCTCTGTTGTGTCATGCAGGGGGGGACAGTGTAGGAAAGAAACTCCCCTATAGGACAGGGAGGAAAAAAGCATAAAAGGGCCTCTTTAAGATAATTAGAATTGTTTCCTGCTACATTATTTATAGTACGGTTTCAGTGATTTGACCCCCAAAACCTGTTTTTATTATTAATGTAAATAGAAGGCATATTTATACTGTATGTTAACAGGACATCGGAAAACTCATTGGGAAAAGCATTTAGTTCCCTCTACATTGTTTTTTGGGGGAATGTTGATTTGATGTATTTCTTTGCTTATGTAAAGAATCTTTATGACTGGAGTTTGGCCCTTATTTAATTCAGAAACAGTTGCAGGTTTATTGCATTTGAATAACTTTTGAATGACTTTGAAATTTAAAAAAAACACTGCTTACAAGCAAGAGATTATATTATAACTTGTTTATTCACTCCTCACTCTCCATTCATCCAGTCATGTTATGCAAAATATATTTATGTACAAAAATACATTCACCTTTTCACAAGAATAACACAGAAACATAAAAGAAAACAATTTACAGTATAATACAAGACAACTTAAAGATTAGTGTAAACATTGTCCTCTTTTATCAAATAGCAAAAAAGTCAAATTCACATTAGAAATATTACAGTTTTACTCTTATTGCTTTATGCGGTGCCAAAAAACACACATATATTACCCTAAAATTAAATGAGAACCACTGAACAAAGTAGAACAGGAATTATATAACTCATATCAATGTAAACATGGAAATGTAAGGGCTTGAAAAAGCTTGCACAAATATAATAAACAATAAGTCCCTAATTTATTGTTGTTTGAAGCTGTTGCTGGTTTCCATGCTTGAGATGAAAGCGAGGACAGCAGTAACATCGGTATTTTGTACTACACTATTGACACATTAGTATCTGCTTTTAATCATAAAGGGGATAGAAAACATGTTTCTTATATTAACAGGTTTTGCATTGATTATTGAGCTATTTCTATACACATCTAGATAGAAAGAGAGTGAATGCATCAGTACTCTATAGTTACAAGATAATCTCTTGTAAATCTGTGTCACCTCATTTCCTCTCCTGCACGCCTGTCTGCTGATTACTCCGTTTACTGGCTCAGAACCAGTCCGCTTAAACAAAACACTCTTTGTTTTTTTTGCAGTCTAATTGAGTCTTTGGTAAATACAGCACATTGCCTTCCACAATACAATTTGTCTAAGCTTTTTGTAGGCTAGTGTGTGTGTGTGTGTGTTTGTGTTGCCTTAGTTCAAAAGGTCACTGCAAAAATAAACTTCCCTTAAAGAGGATATGTTATACTAATTTTCAGGTTCATATTTATATTTAGTGTCTCTACTGTGACATGTTTACACGTTTTAATGTTCAAAAAGCTCTTTATTTTTCTCTTTTCACCCTCTGTCTGAAACCAGAGCCCAGTCTGCTCTGATTGGTTAGCTGGCTGGCTCTGTTGTGATTGGTCAACCGCTTAGAGATGTCCTGCCCCTTAGCCTATCACGTACTATGTGTTGGAGCGCTAGCCAATAGAAGCGTGAGTGTTACATAGTGATGTCACTATGTTCTGGAAGTAAACAAAGAAGTCCAATGGAGTAGCTCCAGGAAGGGGTGGGGGAGTGTGTGGGAGAGAAACTCCCTCTGGAGGGAATTTTAGGAAATTAGCCTTTACAGACCATTTACATGCACACAAACTTATATAACACACAACAGGAAAGGGAAAAACCCCTAAAACACAATAGGGCCTCTTTAAATTAGCTTTCTCTCATCTGAACATGTCCAGTAAAGTCCATCGCAGCATTAGATTTATGATAATTGAGATGAAAAAAACAAAAACATAATCAAAACTTGTAACTATAGGGACAGAGGTGATAGAAGCAGTTAGATGCTCTGTTGAGTTTTAGCATTAAAGCTTATTACGATGTTGCTCATATTCACAATTGTGATCTTTCATCCCTCACGAGGAGTGTGAATCTGTTAGTTGACGAACTGAGCGCCTCCGTGTGGCACCATCTCCGTCGCCCCCCACGCCACCACGTTCCCCCTCTGCTCGCAGCCCTGGCCCTCACGCAAAGCCAGCTGGGTAATCTCCCCCTCTGAAAGCACCCTGTCCCACATGTTCACTCCCGTCATCTTCCCCGCGAACGCCAGCTTGGGATCGAACCCTTCTTCGAACCCGGCCACCCCGCTGCCGCCGCTGGGAGTCAGAGGGCAGCAGCCGTTCCTCTCCTGCCCCAGCTGCAGTGAGCCTCCGTCGGGTATAACGTGTCCTTCGGCGACCCCAGGTGTGGAGGTCACCTTTTTCCCGCCCGCCCACAGCGTCGCCAGGCCCTGCTGGGAGGTCCACGCCCCGCACAGGTGGATCCACTCTGATCCACTCACCACCCCCCGAGCCTCCACCAGGTGAGCCTCTCCTCCGATGGTGAAGAGAGCGGAGGATTGGCCGAGCAGCAGCTGGATCTCATAAGGGTTGCGGCGGTTCCCGTAGGAGAAGAGCACGGTTCTGTTGGAGACGGCGGTCGGCTTCACCCACATGCAGACGGTGAAGGAGGAGATGGACAGAGGGACTTCAGGAATCACGGAGGTGTAGATTCGACGGGAACGCATGGGGAAGAGGAGGGCCATCTCACAACCTAAACAGCAACAAGAGGTGATAGTGTCACTGAATTGGAATCAACAGTAAGAACATCAATTCCTCTCACAAAAAGCAAACTCTCACAGTGGTCAGATGATTCCACGTTGCTTGAAATTGCATTTAAACATAATTTATAGAACATTCCTGCACCACTCTATTATATTTACAAATGGCTCTGCGCAAAATGGATTTGAAATGCTTGTAAAGCCATTTGGTGCACACACAAGGTGGCAATCTTGGATACAGAAGTTCAGCTGAAGTTCAGGTGATGAGATCATGAATCAGAGAGTTTTTTTCCCCTACCCCCACGAAAACACACACACTGCAAAACATTTTGTGTATTCCTTTTAGGGGGTCCTTCCCAGGTAATGTATCCTCCATTACATAATCCAATGTTTGTGTATTTTGAGTTTATGAGCTCTGTAGGAGGTATGGCAGGAGAAACCTAACCTTCGTCATAGACTTTGTACTTTTTAATCTCTCTCTCCCTCAGTCTCTAGATCCTTATTACATGTTACATTTGTCTCAGGTTTCTGCCACCCAGAAAAAAAAGAGGGTGTGTGTGTGTGTGTGTGTGTGTGTGTGTGTGTGTGTGTGTGTGTGTGTGTGTGTGTGTGTGTGTGTGTGTGTGTGTGTGTTGTGTGTGTGTGTGTGTGTGTGTGTGTGTGTGTGTGTGTGTTGTGTGTGTGTGTGTGTGTGTGTGTGTGTGTGTGTGGTGTGTGTGTGTGTGTGTGTGTGTGTGTGTGTGTGTGTGTGTGTGTGTGTGTGTGTGTGTGTGTGTGTGTGTGTGTGTGTGTGTGTGTGTGTGTGTGTGTGTGTGTGTGTGTGTGTGTGTGTGTGTGTGTGTGTGTGTGTGTGTGTGTGTGTGTGTGTTTCCATCTGGTTCTGCTTTTCCTAGTTTGTTTTGGTGTGGTTTTTGTAGCGACTGGCTAACGAGAACACCTCCCTCTGCTCTCTGTATGTAGGTCAGATTCACATTCTGGACTGTAAAGGTGTGTGCATGCTTCAGACGACTGACATGAGTGGTTCCTCACTCAGTGACACTTAACATTATTATTACTTGTTGTTTGGATGGACAGTATACCAGAGTAGTAGCTCTGCTAAAAGAAAAACCATCTCAAAATCGGAGAATATTTGTGCCTACGGTCAGTCCAACAAGACGTCTGTTCTCTAATTTTCTTTCCATGCGTTTATTGGCTTGCATTATTATCCTTAAGCGTCTAATACTAAAATGAAAATCAAAGGCTGAAGGCAAATCTTAAAGATTGATGGACAAAGTCTGACTCTGCCTGAGCTAAAGGTTTGACCAATTAGTTTTTTATCTTGTGTGATGACTCAACAAAATGTTGGTATAAAAACTGTTCAACAAACAGAAATACATTATAGCGCTGACCCTATTCCTAATGTCAGTAAGTGAAAGGAAAGGGATATGTTAGGATAACATGCCTGGAGACAGACAGGATAAGTGGAAAAGCTGTTAAGTAAATAACACAAGCTGCATGATTAGACGTTCAGAAACAACTTGACCTGAATGTGTCAAAGCAGACGAGAAAAATGAAGATGGAATGTTTTGTTGTGAAATGCGAAGACATTTACAAAGAGGTAATGACAGACACACAGATTGTAGGATGGATATCTCACCTGCGGGTAGTTGTCTTTGCCTCGATGACCTCAGAACCTCCCCCAGTTCCTCCCTCGTCTGCTGCAGCGCGGCCAGCAAGCCGTCCAGAGCCCCCTCTCGGGATGGGACATGTTGCTCCTGGTGTTCGTTCCCTGCTGCCTCTGGGAGCTTGGATACCATCTTAACATCCATCCCCATCCCAGCTCGTGGGCCGTTCCTGAGGCAACTGTGCTCCATCTTGGCGAGTCGGGTAGCTTGTAGTATTGTTGCGGAGAGGAGCTGCTGCAGCCTCTCATCGAGGTGGTCGGATGTCCCGGCGGAATTCCTGGCAGAAGTCTGATCTCTGGGTTTGATGCGCTCCATTGTTTCTTTGAGGCGGCCCTCCAGCTGCAGGGCCATCCTTCTTCCTGCCGTCTCCACCGCAACCCCACAGGAACCGCCATACTGGGCTACAAACCTGACCAGAAGAACCAGTAAAACAAGTGTGAACCTCTCGAATGTATCATTCTCAGTAACCAAGGCTCATTATGCACTAAATCTTATCTCTAAACCATTGAGATTTAAAGAAAGCAGATACATTCAGGATACTTGTCGAGTACTCTGCTAGAAATCGGATCCATGCCTGAGCTGTTAATATTTCTGCTGAGTCAATTCATTTTATTAGCTTAACTTGCGCAGCTATCAAAAAAACGAATTCATGAGCGTAACAACTCGCACCTCTGATCCCTTTGTCCAAACCAACCTGAGCATTTCCCCGCGCAGCGACCCCATCTCCACCTTGATGATGTCGTCTGCGTACTGCAGCATCATGTTCTCCCTCATCTGACTGTTCTCCAGCATCGAGAAGAGTTTGTCCCATTTGGTCAGGTCCCGAGAACTGCAAGGGACTGGAGTGGGCGTGGCTGGATAGAGGGATAGTAAAAAGAGAGAAAGATATTGAAACGGAAAATAACGTCTTGTCACATATGCCTTATTAAGTACTGGTACATCCAGTCAGAGCACAAGTGCCGTTACTCTGCATAGCATCGCCAGCATTATCAACTTTTAGGAAGCTAGCTAAGATTGCCTAGCTACAAAAAGGTTCAAAGCTACAAAAGGTGAATTTTTTTTGCGACAACTGCAATATTAGAAAGAATATTGATGGTGCAACATGATGAACACACCCGCTTTTGTTTGTAGTTTAACCAAAGATGTACACACAACTATCACTGGGTTACGTTGATACTGAAAAAAACGTCTTCCCTGTCCCATGCCCGCCTGTGGATAATAATAGCACAGTTCTTCAACGACGATTTAAACTCCTAAAGCATTCCTCTGTCCTTGGGTTTAAAAACGAGAGTAATGCACTTTATTACACAATTGTGTGTAGTTATTTTCCAGATGCTAGGGCAGGTGTTGCTTGAACATTATTATCATCTCTCGGGCTCTGACAGGAATGTCAAGGTCCAACATGTTTTGGTTTACTGGAAGAAGAGAAGAAATCCTGCAGGATGAGGATGTTTAGTCACAGAGAACAGCAGGTAAAATGAAGGGTTAAGATGGGGACACGGGAGGAAGTGAGGATGTTAGTGAAGAGATAAGAACGTGAGAAAGAAGGGGCACAATTGACTCATAAAACACTTTGCTCCTTGCCTGAAGGAAAGAACGTCTCTTTGACTGAATTGTAAAGGAAGTAGATGCTGGGAGTTGGGGAGAGATAAAGCAGAGCCTGGGGAGTGGGAATATGTGTCACACACACGGTTCTGATTAACATGTTTACCTCACACACTCTGTTTATACCTGCAGACGTTTTCTAGAGCGGTTTCATCACAGGACTGCAGGATTTGTTTTTGGCTGCCTGTCCCCGAAGGTTCAAAGTAATTTAGACAGAAGGGTTCGTGCACTCTGCTCCCTCTGACTTACAAAACTATAAGCGCAGGTCTGTCAGGATTATGAAGGATTTTGATGGATCTGGGGGGGGGGGGGGGGAGTAGAGTGTAAAATGACCTTTGAAATGGGCTTAGCCTTTTGACCTCCTTAGTTTGAAGGCGTATAACAACTATTATGCTACTGTATCTCTTATTTTGAATTGATTACTAGTTATTTAATGCAGGATTACTACGTGTTCAGTTCTATTTCTTTAATAGTTTCCACTTCTGTAATGAATGCAGTGCAGGAATGAATCTAGACACCATGCGTTGGATGCACACATGTACATTACAACATGCAGTGGAAAACAGTCACATGGAAAATGACTTCATGTAGTAGAAGTACAACCTGTACCCTCCGTTAGCCAACACTTACTTAATTTTTTATCGCCCACATGTTTAGCCAGGCCTTCATTTTAAAAGTATGTCATGACCCTTCTTACGTTGCTCCCATTGGTTTATATTCCACTAAGAAATGTAGATATTTAACCCTTGACTGGGCAAACACATATTTATATTGTGTAACATTAATTGATTGGTATTTTCTACATTGCACCCATATTACACCATGCGCCCCTATTACACCATAAGTACACCGTATTACTGCTTTCATTACACCCACCATTTCTGTATGGTGTAACATGGGTTAAGGTTAAGCAGGTAGGAACTAAAGTGATTTAACATGTGTGTGTTTCTTTGTTTTCCTTCTTCTTGCTACCACCTATTCTTGCAGAAACAACCTCTTTATGTTTTTCTTTAAGTGCTTTTATTTTCCTATTCTCAGTCGTGTGTTAAAGGCACTCATTTGGCTAGGTTTAATCACAGTGCTGTGCCCAGAGCAGAGTTTTGCTGCCTGTAATTACACCTCCTGCCAGGTTTAAAACAACAAATAAATTCAAAGTTTGAGGGGCCCGTACAAACACTTTCTCCTTCGTGTACACACTTGAAAACATTCTTTCCTCTCACAAAAAGGGGATGCTTTCCAAAACAGTGGAGAGACGTGTTTCATAATGCTATACTGAGATTACAGAGCAGCAACTCATGCTGTTATATCTGAGGCTCGAGCTTTAAAAAAAAAACTTTCTGGCTCAGCATATTCTGCCAACAGTCTGTTTGATCTACTGTACAGTCAGGCTAAGGGGCTACATGTAACCAGTTCACGTAATCACGATACAAATAAAATATTGCATACAAAAATATGTAATCAGATTTCTGTTACAAAATAAATTTAAATTACTAAAAATGGTGGAATACAAGCAGGATTAAAATGTTAGTCAAAACTAAAAAGAGCATATAGTGTTTGTTGTAAAAGGATCAGATTGTATTTCTTCTTTGTAAGCTTCACTGTTCTGTAGGCTAATACTTTAAGTGTGAATATATACGCCCACATGTTCTTACAGGTAACTAGCAATTGTAACTGTCTTTATCCCTCCTATTCTGCAACCTGCTATATTCCTCTATTTACCCTCTATCTATCATTTTTTAATCTCTCTGTCATATAGTTAATTTTTTACTTAAATCTCAGTGACAACTGACGTTCTAACCACTCAGTTTTAATGCTCCTACAGTATATTTGTGACATCATTTTCAGTCTTAAGGAGCGTGTCAAATGTCGATTCCCACTGTGGTTATTAATGATAAATGGAGGATGAATCCTAATGTCCTGAGCTCACCTTTCACACAACCCCAATGCATGAATCCTCCAAGAAATCAATCCCATGCTCCGTTATTAAATTAAACTGCAACCATGTCCATGTGGGAGTCCTAATCTGATAACACACACACACTAACACACACACACACACAAACACGGTTTAACACTTACGTTCTGGTGTTTCGCCATCGCCGATTTCATTGTAGAAGGTGTCAGTGTAGTTGACCTCAAAATCATCCTCGTACGTGAAAACCAGACACACACACGCCGACAGCACACACACTGCCTGGGGGAGCATCCACCGAAACATGCTGAGTGAAGGTGTGTGAATGAGTGAGAGTGAATTAGTGAGAGTGAATGAGTGTGTTAAGTTTCAGCCCTTCCTAACTGCTTGTCTATTTGTGTGTGTGTCTCTGCTGCTTCTCCCTGTCTCTCACCTTCTGCAGCTCAGCAGGTCCACAGCTCTCTTTTCTACCCCCTTACTCTCTCACACTGTGTTTGTCCCTCCTCCCTTATGACTCTCTCCTCTCCCCCTCTCTCTTGTTAAATGCTGAGCAATCCTTTGGCAGGAAGCCCGGCAGTGTATGCACTTCAACCAGAGAGAGGGGCTGCATGCTACACACACACACACACACACACACACACACACACACACACACACACACACACACACACACACAGTACATTTTGTAACAATAGATGGGGAAATTGGTGAGTTACACAAAACATTAATAATGACAATTAATGTACGTATGAAAATTGATGATGTATCCGTTATTAGATTACATTAGATAAGATTAGTGTTCTTTTTTTTATTAAGGACAGCCACATCATCCTGCTTATCTACATACTCAATAAGCAAACGTCTTTACTCACAATATTGATCTTAAAAGGATCATATTGCTTCTGCTTAGACAAAATAGTCCATTCCACTGTGTACCAACGGCTGGAACTAAAGCAAAGTAACTTACAGTGACGGCAGCACTGACAGAGGTTTTCAGTAACTGTCCAAGTCTGTTCACATTGTCTTTGCCATTAACCAGTCTTTAAACACAGGCAGAGTCCATACTGTGTTCCTGTTAGTGTTTACTTCCTGTCTGTCTGTCTTCTTCTGCTGTTCCCTTTCGTGTTTACTTCCTGTCTTTTAGGACTTTTAGGACAGTTAAGCCATCATGAATCTAAAGTGTAGTGCTCTCCACAAATATAACGTGATACTCCTTAGCAATGGGTATTAACAACCTTTAGAATGTCCACATTTACCAATCAGAATCTAGTATTCAACTAAGCAGTGTAATAATAACTGTAACAATATCCATACGTATCAATATCTATATATATTTTTTTTTTTTTTTCCTTTCCATTTCTACTCCCTCTCTGATTTGTGGGTTGTTATTTGAAGTATTTTAGCTTCAATTAACATTCTATAATTGTTTAATCTTGTTGGGTTATGTATGCCCTGTAACCAGATCATTTCTTAAAAGTGAAAAAATAATAGTTTCACAGTCAAACATGTTGGAAATATCCTCTAAATCTCCCGTCTTGTGAAAACATGGCTTTCACAAGTTTAGAAAACTTAACAGCAGCGCTCCAGCCTAGCAGCGAGGCGGTGAGTAATGCGACGCTGGAGGTATCCCGCATGTCGTAATCGGATATAACTGCAGCACGAAAAAGAAAGAGAGGGGGAAGGGGGTAGGGGGGCAGAAACTTTCCTGATTTTTGCCCCTTGCAGAGACGTCCGTGTGTGTGTGTGTGTGTGTGTGTGTGTGTGTATGTAGGTTGATGGAAGATTGAATGGATCCCAGACGTCAGGAGTTTCTAAATGGGTTTATTGTTCTCCTGCTTTAGGGCTGTTTATTATTTATCAGTCTCAGCATGTGTGTATTTACCGTACGTGCACTTGTATGAGTGTGTGACAGTATATCTTCTTGTGTGTGTGTTTTCATTTTAGGATTTTCCCACTCATGTCCCGTTCCCACTCCCCTCCATATTTCTGTCCGCCTGTGTCTCTCTTTTTCATTGTGTGTGTTTTTTGTTCTCTTCCTGAAACACACACTTGTTCGCTTGTTGTCTGCATGGAGCCTTTTCATTCAGACAGCTGCACACAGAGAGCGGAGGCTGTGTGAAAAAGACAGAGCTGCTTCATTTATATTAGCACTTGATATAACTACAAATGAGGCAACACAATATTAGTTTAACTTATTAAACTAATAGTGTGTTGCCTTAAGCAGGAACACAAACAACTGAAGGTGTTCTTTTTTAAATGAATGATAATTATCTTGCTTATTACACGGCTACGTACTAAATTAACCAAGGACTTGTCTCACAATATTGATTAAACATGATTACATTGATTTACATATGACCGTATTGGATTAATTTGTTTGTTTACTTTTCTGTACATAATGACATCACTATGTAACACTCGCATGTCTATTGGCTAGCACTCCAACACATTGTACGTATTAGGATAAGCGGCTGGACATGTCTAATGTCACGGAGGCGTGTGGTGCAGTGGGTTGTGCGTTGGTGTTCGGATCAGGGGGTCACAGGTTCAAACCCCACTGCAGTCAGCATGTCGTTGTGTCCCTGAGACACTTCACCCCAAATTGCTCCTGTGGGGATTGCCCACAGTATTGAGTATGTAAGTCGCTTTGGATAAAAGCGTCTAACAAGTAACATATAATGTAAAGTAATGTAAGTTTTTCGACCAATCACAACAGAGTCAGCCAGCTAACCAATCAGAGCAGACTGGACTCTGGTTTCAGACAGAGGGTGAAAAGAGGTGCTGCAGCACAGACAGTATGAGAAAAATAAATAGTTTTTTGAACAGTAAAACATGGAGACATGTCACAGTAGAGACACGACAGACTAATATGAACCTGAGAATGAACAGAATATGTCGTCTTTAATGGAAACAACTAACACACAGGGCTGTGCCTATGTGTGTGCATGTGTGCGGTGTAGATATTTTCCTAATGACTGCCATCTGAGGAGAAAATGAACTGGCACCACATCATACATGCTTCTCTGACAGACCAGTAACAAAATCACTTCGGTGTGTGCATGTGCATTATTAATGATTGTTGCATTGTGTAGGTGATAAATGGGATTTATTATGATAGAAAGCATGATAGAATCCCAGGAAAGTGTATTTTTAAGGATGATATAGTTACCTTGCCTTCAAATCAGCCTGTTACTCATTAACTGCTAGAGAAGAGGCCTTTAGAGTTACGAGATACATTGAGTTTTTTACCCTGAAACCATGTTTTAAGGCATCAGGTCACTTAACAAGCCCGTATGCATTTGTTGAAGTTGGCAGAAGTCTCTGTTTTAGAAAAGAGCACCATTGCGTAATGGTGCTCTGCACACCGCAATAAAAGATACTCTATAAAAAAAAAAGACTTAATCCCAATTTGCATCACAGTTTGAGTGAGTTTGGAGGCAATAAAGTCATCTGGATAAAATGGCAGTTTTGGAAATGCTTTCAAATTGCTCAAAAAGACAAATGCATCAATGAAATGACATACTGTATACAGTAGTATAACTTCAGTAAGAGTTTTACCTCACTTTGGCAACCTTTCCTAAACAGCTGAGCAGTATTAGATGTTAAAACAACAGCAATTTCTTCAGAAAATGCGTAAGCAGTGACCAATGCCCTGCTTAAAGTTTGACTTCTTGAGATGACTTTACAACCAGGAATCTCATTCTGTATACGGTGACATCAGGCATGCAGATGTGTGACCTACACACGTCCAGCTGCACTTCGTGTGTGCTGACTCAGCGGTTAGTGTACGAAGCGCTGAGTGATGTCTATTTTTTAGTCAGGTCTCTTATACTTTATATATAAAATGAAGAAGTTCAGCATGTACGGGACATTTAGTCTTTTACACAGATGGGGTTTACCGGTTAAATTATCTGGGTGAAAGGGGAAGATGGTCATTGAGTTTAAACTTTGCAGGTGTGTGTGTGTATGTGTGTGTGTGTGTGTGTGTGTGTGTGTGTGTGTGTGTGTGTGTGTGTGTGTGTGTGTGTGTGTGTGTGTGTGTGTGTGTGTGTGTGTGTGTGTGTGTGTGTGTGTGTGTGTGTGTGGTGTGTGTGTGTGTGTGTGTGTGTGTGTGTGTGTGTGTGTGTGTGTGTGTGTGTGTGTGTGTGTGTGTGTGTGTGTGTGTGTGTGTGTGTGTGTGTGTGTGTGTGTGTGTGTGTGTGTGTGTGTGTGTGTGTGTGTGTGTGTGTGTGTGTGTGTGGCGTACATCTGGTCTGATGTTATGGTTTCTACTTCATGATTTAGATATCAAATATTTCCATGCATGAAACGCTCGGAGTCATGTGAACAGGCGATGAAATGTAACATGGGTCTTTTTGCACTCTGCTAACTGGATCCCATCCAGAGAGCTTTCATACGGGGCCAAATTCTCTAAACTATTTTTATTTGGTTGCAGTAGGGGGGTTTTCTTATACACAAAAATGTGCAGAATCTCAAATATATTACCTCTCTGGGAGACATTTGACTCCTGTCTCTTTTTTTGTTGCGTAAGTCTCCACTGCCTTCACTCGCATGGAGTTATTTGAACCTGTATGATATACGACTATCGGGACATACGTGCAAAAAATGAGTGTTGGAAGCTACAGACAAAGCTTACAGCTGTTAAGCTATCCAGAAACATCCCTCTGGATATTATGTTTGCTGATCTCTGCATTTTTTAACTGTACAATATCCTCTCTTGCATTAGAGCTCAGTGTTTTTTGGCAATAGATGTGCAATGCTGGATATTAAAGAAATGTTCTTTGTGTACCGTAGAGATGCAGAAATATTTGATAAGTCCCCGGAATACTTGACAGAAAGAAAATGCAATAATTGCTTCCAGCTTCTTACATACTAAATATGTCTTGACTTAGACTCCATGGAAATTAATCTCTTCTTAGCACCACTGTACTCCGGCAGAAAAGACAACTTACTAAATGCGTTTGTTTTTATAGGGCATGGTTTGTAATGATTTAAGGGAATGCTTCTGCAGCCATTACACAGCAAAAACACCGACAATCTTTTTATTTTTCATGACTCACAGTATTCTCCTAGGTACAAATATAGCCAGAAACTGTATTCAGGTAATATTTCTATCCAAGTTAAGCCTCTCCAGAATTGGTGAATGCTTTTTTGGTATGAACAGAGGGATTCTGACGGGACATTTTTGAGTACAGAACAGTACATTCAAGCCATCATGTTTCACAGATCAGTTAGTAATCAGGTTTTTTGAAATATGTCGTCTTTGTGTGCTAAAAAAACAAAGGTAATTACAGGATATTTTTATTGACATTTAAAAGTCATGATGATGGGCTGGGTGTATGCAGGGATGAAGGCCAGAAACTAAACAAGTGCAAACACACAATTAAAAATGATACAGTACAGTCAGAAACAATATGATGATATACGGTACAATGCGATGCAGTACAGTAC